AAATCATCCTTCAGCAAAGAAACTCATGATGTAAAAATAGTCAGACAGATGCTAACATAGCAAATGGAAGTGCACACACAAGCACGTAGCAGATCTAAACAAAATGCAACAACAGATCATATTTTGTCCAAACACAAGACTAATCAGATACACACGAAAATAAGAAAAATGGGTAAGGATCAACTGAAGCAACTTATCAGAATAAGCTCTGATGCCACTTGTTAGAGTTGGTTAACTCATTTTGGTGTTAGGTTACCCTTTTTTAAGTGTAGTGGAATATTCTTACCAAGTTGTTTAGGAGATTTCCAATTTGAACATATCATCCATAAGTGCATAAAGTAAAGAACATAGCCATATACATGGTTCGGCTAAAATTCACTTTTAGCCTACATCTATGGGACCTTGTCTATATCGAAGCAATCCACTAACTTAAAAACACATTACAAGACAATGTTCAAAGTTGATCTAAGATACAGTAAATAGAATTTCCTACTCAACTTTACACTTAGAACCACACTCTAAATCCTTAACGTGTTGAAACTCCTTAGATCTTCTTCATGCCGGGAACACACCCAAGAATAGCTTGTGAACCACCAAGCTTCAAGCACTAGCGCCACGCACCAGCATCAGCAAGGGAACCACGGTCCAATAGCCATCAAAACAATGAATGATATGGTGAGGTTTTGGCACAAAATGAAATGAACCTATGAACCTTTGAAGTGAAAAACACTCTAAGGATATTTCAGAGTACAAAGAAAAATAAAAGATCAAAAGGTTAGATTCATACACGCAAGAAAGGGTATTATATAATGTAGGGTTTCTTGCTCAACACTATTGTGCCACGTCAGCTAATAAGGGGTTGACCCATGTTTGTGCAAATAAGAAAGTATTCCTTCTTTTGGTTTGGACCACAAAACAAATCGGGAAAAGCATCTTTATTCCCTAGGACCACTTAAGGATAAAATGACACTTGTAAAAGGTCCTAAAAGGGTAGCAACAAGGATAAACAAATATCTTGGCTACTTTATCAGACATGCAACTCGTGCTGGGTTGCAAATATCTGAAGCGAGTGTGCAAGCACAAATTGTTGTGCACACACACTCGATATGAAACAAGCCAAGACATAAGTTTGGCAGCCAGTGTGCACACATAACTATTGTGCACACACCAATCATTAGAATCAAGCCAAATCATAAGATTGGCAACCAGTGTGAACACATGACTGTTGTGCACATACAAGTCATAAGTTTGGAAAAACATAAATATTCTACACATAGGATGTAAATGGGTCTTCAAGAAAAAGACTAACATGGAATGTAATGTGTAAACCTATAAAGCAAGGCTGGTTGCCAAAGGTTTCAAAGAAAAGCATAACATAGACTATGATGAAACCTTTTCAGCAATAGCAATGCTAAAGTCCATTCAGATAAGGCTTGCAATAGTTGCATACAACGATTACGAGATTTGGCAAATGGATGTCAAAACTACTTTCCTAAACAGAAACCTTGTAGAAGATGTCTATATGACACAACTCAATGGTTTCATTCTTGAAGGACAATCAGAAAAATGATGCAAGTTACAAAGGTCTATATATAGACTTAAGCAAACTTTAAGGAGCTAGAACATTCGTTTTGATGAAGCTGTTAAAGAATTATGTTTTATCATAAATGAAGATGAGCCTTGTGTTTATAAGAAGTTCACTGGGAGCATAGTGGCATTCCTAATACTGTATGTTAACGACATAATACTAATTAGGAATGATATACCAAACTTGCAGACAGTAAAGACTTGGTTATCCAAGCGCTTCTCCATGAAAGCCTTAGGAGAAGTAGCCTACATCCTTAGTATCAAGATCTATCACAATAGATCACGTAGGTTGCTTGGCCTAAGTCAGAGTACATACATTGACAAAGTACTAATGAGATTTAGTATGGAAGAATCCAAGAAAGGATTCCTTCCTATGTCACATGGTGTTTATCTCTCAAAGGACATGTGTCCTAAAACACACGATGAGAGAGATAAGATGAATAGGATCCCATATGCATCCGCTATTGGATCCATAATGCATGCCATGTTATGTACTCAAATTGATGTCTCTTATGCATTAAACATTTGCAGTAAACATCAATAGGATCCAGGTGATGTCACTGGATAACAGCCAATAAAATTCTTAAATACTTGAAAGGGACTAAGGATATGTTCTTGGTTTATGGAGGAGGAGATGAACTAACTATAAAAGGATATGGTTATGCTAGTTTTCAAACTAACAAAGATGATTATCAATCTAGTTAGGTTTTGTCTTTTGTCTCAATGGAGTTGTAGTGAGCTAGAAAAGCTTAAAGCATACTACTATAACTGATTGTACAACAGATGTTGAGTATATTGCATTATCAGATGCGGCCAAAGAGGCGGTTTGGATCAAGAAGTTCTTTACTGAACTTGGTGTAGTTCGCAACATTGTTGAACCTATAGAATTATTTTGTGACAACAATTAGGCCATTGCTCAGGCCAAAGAACCATGATCTCATCAGAGATCCAAACACATACTCAGATGATTCTACCTTATTAGAGAAATCATTCAAAGAGGATATGTGCAAATAAGCAGAGTACCTACCGATGATAATGTTGCATACTTACATACGAAAGCTTTATCGCAGCTGAAGCATGATAAGCACTTAGCTTTATTTGCTGTAAAATACATGAATGATTGGCTATAGTGCAAGTGGGAGATTGTTGGAGTAGGTGCACTAGAGCCAATCTTATTTTGTATATTGACTTCGTGGATCATGTTTTTTCATTAATAAAAGGCATTATTTATATTATGTAAATCACATCTTATATATATTTAATAATATATGCCTTTAGAGTAGTGAAACTGTGATGAGAGAATCAAGCGGTTATAAGTCTTGACTGTGAAATTTTTATGAGCACATATGGTGACCATTCTAAAATTATTCTGACCTAGGGCATAGATAATAATGTAAGGCTATCATAGCGTTGAACAACCCTACCGAAAGGTAGTGACATATCTCGCATGTCAAAGTTGTTTGGTAACAACTTGGTGCGACCCATGGGTGCTTACTATTCACAAGTTCACTAGATTGATCCACCAAAGAATTCCATATAGATAGTAACCTCGGTGTCTATTGAATACATCCTCTAAGGGATGGTGGTGTATGTGATCCTTAGACTTGAGATCACCAGAGCCCCATCTGTAGATATTGATATAGTTTGACACTAGCCTAACGTAGTCCTATTAAGGGTTATTATACGGTAATGATTGGCTACATTGAGAAGTACACTATGGCTATGGTGGATCGACAATGGATTTATCACTCCTGGGTATAGGAGAAATTATCTCGGTGAGATATTTGATAAAAGACAACGACCTTAAATCTATGGCCATAATGGAATCAAGTTGTTGCTCATTTGGTCGTTGGTCCGATGACCGAATGCAAATATGTCAAGGTAATTCATACATGAAGCTGACACTATTTTTGTACTTCAAACCATGATAAGATAATATATCATGAAGGGATTGAATTGCATAGTAACCATACTATTGACAGGTAGCTAATGCTGAATCCGAATCTATTAGGTGGCCATGATGCCTTGCTAGAGGTCAATCTTGGTCTATGTGTAATGAGACGATTAATAAGATATTAATTGCAATATTACCCACTACCGATATGATAAAGAGCCTACAGGTCACACACTTAAAAGACAAGTTAAGGAAGATAATGAATAAGGGCAATTTTGTCTTTTAAAGACGAAGGGTATTTTGATAAGTCTTACGGAGCAATTAAATTTGTTAGAAGGTTGTCGCCATGTCCAATTTTATATTGGATTTAATTTGTAAGATTAGATATTTATTTAAATATATATATTGGTGTTTATATATTTTAAATAATGAATTATTATTATTTAAGTATATATATTGGTCTATATATATTTTTAAATAATGAATTATTATTGAAATTAATATTAATATGCATGTGTGTATTTATATATGTATTAAATAATTAATGACAATAACAATTAAATACCCATCCAACTCTTTCTTGGGCAACAAGTAATATCTAAATATTTAGAAAAAAAATATTAACTATTATTAGGGAATATTTGGGGAATATTACTAGGGACATTAGGGTTTAGGGTTGCCTTATAAAAAGGGCAACAAAACCCTTTTCTCTCATATATGTGTGAATCTTGCCTTGCAAGCAAAAGAGTAAGAGATAATTTCTCTTTGAAATTTCATCCTCTTTTCTTCTTTGAACCACCTTCTTCGTTCTAGCAAATTGATCTTGTGTAGAATCTTGTCTTTGTGTAGATTTCCGTTTGTTCACTTCAACTCTTGAAGTGATAGTGTTTTCTATAATCAATTTGAAGGAGCCACCAACGTTTTGGTATGAAATCAAAATGGTTTATTGATTTCTTTATGACATGTAAATAACCTTTAAACCATTATAAGGATCTTGGGTTTTAGGTTTTAATAAAAAATTTTAAATTTCTGCTGTGTTTTGCCTTGATTAACTCCTAACAGTGTGTTAAACTCTCAGGCTCCATTTGGTTCACTATTTTACACTTTTTATAATAGTGTTTTGAAAAAAGTTGAGTTGAGTTGAATTGAGTTGTATTTAATAGAAAAGTGTTTGCATTTGAATATGTGTTTGGTTCATTATTTGAATATTATATTTGAGTTAAATAAATTAATGAATAATTGTTTGATATATTTTTTTAAAAAGGATTTTAAGATAGAATATTTTGATACATTTTATTTAAAATTTTTATTATTTGATTATTGAACTTTTCAATTCACATTTAAATAATATTAATTAGTTGTTTGGTAATTTTTTTATCACTGAATTAAAAACAATTTCTCCATAATAATTTTGACTACTAATATATCATTTAAAAACACGGCATTAATACATATATAAATTAATAATACGAAGCTACTAATAATCATCCCTCAAAATTCTATGTACCCCAATATTCAGTTAACAATACGAGCTGGACTCATGTTTTGCCCATATAGCAGTAGTTATGCTATCCCTCACCCTTCCCATGTCGTCTGTATTACGCTGAGTCAGTTGATTTGAACCCATCCCATTTCCTTCCTCACAAACTCTATTGCCATTAAACCTTTGGAAGATAGGGTCGTTCATATAGAACCTTTTGATAAAATTATGAATTACACAACATGCCATAACAATGTTAGCTTGCTTCTGCAATGGGTAATTATTCATCCCATCAAGAATGCGGAACCTTTTTTTAAAAACACCAAAGGTCCTCTCCACAACATTCCGAAGCGATGCATGTCTGTAATTAAACAACTCCATAGGTCCAGAAAGGTTATGACACGCATCAGGAACATGATAAGGAACCCATCTATGTGGGGCGAGGACCCCACCTCTGTTCGCATAACCCGCATCTACTAAGTAATATTTGCCTATAATGAAATACTGAATGTTATTTGAAGAATCATAAAAAAAATGTTTACAGTTTAGCTATAGTACATAAACAAGTTAGTTATACCTGGAGGAGGATGTGAGAAACCCGAATCAGGATCATCTAGAACTGAATTCAGAATCCTTACGTCGTGGGCAGATCCTTCCTAGCCAGTCACGACATATGTGAACAACATATTGAAGTTGCAGACGGCTATCACATTCTGCGACAATGCCCCTTTACGATTTCAATACGTATCTGCTACCTCAACCGGTGTCGACCCACGTATATGTGTACCGTCAATCGCTCCAAGACAGTCCTATGGACAAAATTGCATTTTAGTAATTTGTGAAGACGAACAACAATTATGAAACAATGAACTTAACTATCAACTAATTAAAAATAATTAAGTACCTTAAAGAATGGGTAGAAGTTTGGGTTGGTCAATATCTCTAATGGAACATCAGTGAAGTCAAGTGGCTTGATATAGTCTGACGTCAACTCTAATATCGCATCACAAACTACATGGACATATCTATAGATTGTCTCACCGGAATGTTGGTAATCCTCCCTAAAGTCACAATTTGACTCATTTTTCCTAACTGTTGTCAAAAATATCATTACTTGTTCTTCAATACTCATGTGTCTGGTTACTCGCAGTTTGCCTCGTTGTGCCAAAATATAACATAAGGTTTGAAAACATCGTTTGCTCATGCGACACTTATTGTATATTCTTGTATGATGACCATTTAGTAGTTCCACCATATAATCATGACCATTTAATGAAGATGTATGTATAGGTTGGCGTCGTTGCATGCTAAACTCCATTTCATATGCAATAGCCCCACACAATGCGGCTGTAGCATGTATATATAACTATACTTCCTCACTGTCATTATCTTGATTATGGTTTGTATGGCTAGACGATGCCATCTAAACTTGTCCATTGTAATAGTTTGTTCATTAGTTCATTATTTTTTAATACTAACCAAAATATAAATAACATTCAATTTTAAATTCAGTTGACCATATCCAACATATATGAATCATTGCACAACAATAGATAGTGTATCGGTTCTTAGAACAAAGCAAGTTAAGTCTGTAATACGAAGAAAGTAAATATAAAATATCTCAAATGTCAATGGAATAAATAAAGAGTAATAAGTGAAAAATACAAGTTCAACAAGGAAGTCAAACACTGTCATTTACATACTACAGAAATCATTATAAACCCAAAATTCCCTTATCTCCGGTGACATGTTCACCATTAGCTAACGCCACTCTGGGTTGGCAATTAAGTACTTCACAACATCCAAATATAGTTGCGGTGGAAGTTGCATACTTTCCAAAATTGCCTGACAATTTTCCAAGGAATATTGATCCATCCTAGCACTTGTGTTCTCTTGGGTCCCATTACCGGCACTGTTACTTGATGCCGCAGATCCCATAGTTTTATTGGAAATAGCTTCCACCAACTGACCAATCACACCCAATAATGGGTTTCCCTCCCCGTCTCTCCTTCTCCTCCTCCTATTTACGGACCTGCTATCTCCAGACCTATTAGATCGTTTTTCCCCAGTTGATCTATCTGGATCAGGATCGAAGTCATCTAGATTCATGTCTGCCTTGATATGATTGGGAAAACCAATGTTGGATACCACAGGTTGTGATGCAGATGTGTAAGCAAATCTGCCAGTTGCATTTTGCTTCTGGAATATGACCTCATATAACTCTCTATCAACAAGTCCTTTATGTAGGAATTGCTATGCACCAGGGTTTTGCTGTTAATGAAAAACATGCATAAGTTAAAATTTATATTTTCCAAAAAAAAAAAAAAAGTGCATACGTTTTGCTGTGTTATAAGAATTGGAAAAAAGAAAATGTTGTTTACCTTTATATATTCTTCCCATATCTCTTTAGAACATGTTTGAGTTTGGGACTTGTGATCCCAACCAAACCCCGTATGTTCTATTAGTGCATGCCAAGACTTGTATGTCGACCGCAAGCATTGGTACTTAGAAGACAACTGTTGCACTTCCAGTTTCTTCTATGCTACATTTTGTAATTATTCACTAATCCTCCTGTGGTCAGAAGCTCTTATTGCAGTACCGTGGGTTGTTTTCACCCACTTAGCCAACAGTTCTAAAAACCTATGGGTGAGTTCAGCAGTCCATTGAACGAACTCACTCATCTAATAATAGTAGGGTGAGAACTGTTAGTAAACGGTCTCATATACGCAGCGCAAACAAAACAAATATAATATAGAGATCGTTTACATGAGCCAAGATCAAGGGTATAATTTTACAATTCATATAAAATAAAATCTACAGAAAAATAAATTTGAGTCTAAAGAAAACAAACGCACGTTGGAGGCTCCTCCAAATTTGTGAACGAATATTTTGCTACCGATCCAAGCGTAGGATCGCACCCACGTAGTCCACACGAAGACAATCTCAAAAGAACCAAAAAGGGATTTGCTAGATCCTCTTTGGCTTTAAGATTAAGAAGAAAAAGGAAATCAAATTGAATTGATTTCTAAGCAAAAGTGTTTTTGCCGTGGGAGTGCTTTTCCGAAAGGGGCTGCTGTGTATTTTTCAAAGAAAAATTCTGTCACTTTTAATTAACACATTTTTTTCCTTTTATAGTACATCAATTTTCCCTAATCCCATACGGAATAGGCTTGGGCTCCAACACAAATGCCCCTTGTTGCCAAACACTAATATGTGATATTTTTATTTTATTTCCCATCATTATCTCAATTAAAATCAATTAATATATATTAGCATTTAACAATAATGATAATATATTTAAATATGTGTGAACACATATTTAAACGTAATTTCACTTATTTAATTTTTCTAACAAATTAAATAAAGGCTACGACCTCAACAAATTTAATTGCACTGTAAAATTACCAAAATTTCCTTTCGCCTTAAAAGATGAAAATGCCCTTCTTTCTTCTTGAGTCTTAAATTATCTTTTATGTGTGTGACCCATAGGCTCCTCATCATACCGACAGTGTATAGTATCGTGATTAACACCAATTAATCGTCTCACTAATACACAGACCAAGATTGGCCCCTAGCAAGGCATCATGGCCATCCAATAGATTCGAATTCAGCAAAGTAGCTACCTATCAACGATATGACTACCGTGCAATTCGATCCTTTCATCATTCGTTATCTCGATGAGACGAAGGCATAGAAATAGTGTCAACCTTTGGTTACTCTCGATATTATGTATTCAGTTTCTGGACCAATGACTTGTATTATAAATTGGATAGAGCAACAACTCAATCCCACTGTGGCCATAGTTTTAACGTCATTGCCATATACTGAATTGCACCGTGAGATAACTTCTCCCATACCTGGGAGTGACGAATCCTCTGTCAATCCACCATAGTCTTGATATACTCCTTGATGCAGCCAATCACCACCGTATTGACAGCTCTGAAAAGAACTGCGTTAGGCTAGTGTCAAACTACACCAATTGATGCACAAGGCGCTCCGGTGATCTCAAGTCTAAGGATCACATGCACCATCATTCGTTAGAGGATTTATTCCATAGACACTGGGGTTACCATCCATATGGAATCCTCTGGTGGGTCAGTCCAGTGAACTTGCTGTGGTGTATCCGCCTACAGCAAGCACCCGTGTGTTGCACCAGGTTGTCACCAAACAACCTTGACAAGTGAGATCAGTCACTGTCTTTCGACAGGGTCGTTCAACACTATGATAGCCTTACCGTATTATCTGTGCCCTTACTTTCGAATAATACTAGGGCTACGGATGTTTCTAGAATAGCCACCATATATGCTCATAGGGGTTCTCACTATCAAGATTTGAAACACTTGATACCCTTGTCACGGTTCTACCATTCTAAGGACATATATCAATACTTATTGCAATAATTATGATTTACGCGATATAGAATAAAATGTCTTTTATTATTGATTAATGAACATTATTACAAAGAGTCAATTCTACAATAATTGAATGGCTCTAGGACACCTACTCTAACAAGAACAACAACCATGATTGAAATATTGTAACAATTAGGAAACATATCAATATGAACATATGCAACATATAATATTATAAACAAAACATACAGAAAATATTACCTTGTTTGACCCAACACTACTTTCAACAGAAAGTACGGGGGACACGATGGTCAAGGTAGACCATCAAGGTCTTCTGTGTACCCCAATTCCGGATAAACGTCGAAATGTCCTCTGGCATCGAAAGTAATAATCAATTCTGCATCGGTGGGCTGAGTGACATGTACATTTGTTCATAGCATTGTAAGTAGCTATTGCGATCAACTAGCAGTTATCAACCTACAAAAAGATTAATACATAAGTTAGACAAATCATCACCTCTTCAAACCATTGATTAGTTTGCTAGAATGAATAAGAAAATAGTGCATCATAGGGGTTGAATAGAGCTTCATCAAGCAATGCAAAGTCTGGACCAGTTCCTTGTCCCACATTTATGATCTAATTGCAAGGCCACCTCATATCAAGATCAATTACTATCCCAAAACTGATTTCTTCATGACTAGGAATTAAATCCTCTGCAGATTTTCCAATCTGTCTTGCTGATAAGTTGCTAAAATCATCAGATTCACTCGTTCCAAAAATCTCATTGAGACTATTCATCTTTGCCGTCTTTCCATCAAACTAATTAAAATCTGTCTATTCCCACATATAAATAAAATCAACTAATGTAGAATTCATCAATCCCTTAAAGTCAAATTATCACTGTTGAAGGTTGATACTTGGCTGGAAATGCAGCAGTTCAACTAATGTTTCAAATATGTTTTTGGCGGTAAAACTGAAAGGCAATTTGCCAGGGGTCCATTTGCCAGGGGTCCATTTGTAATACTGCAAAGTTATACTTATTTTGTAATGCTTGATATGTGTCTCGGATTATATGGGATGTGTTACATAGTTGTTGTTTAGTTGGTATTAAGTCAGTAGCTTCAGATTAAAATCAAGTTATCATATGTCTGCATGTTTGGTGTAATAGTTTAATATCAACTTTATTAGTTGAAGTGTAAACTCATTTTTGAACTTAAGAATTCAGACACTTTTCTTCAATCGTATCATGCTCTCATTCTTTTCTTAGTTATCTCCAGCACATAAACACTAACATGGTATTAGAGCTTCGTTGATTCCAACAAAAAAAACTGAACATTTTCTTCTCCAAACAACACATCCAGCTCTCTTGGAAACTGCCTTGCATCAGACCTGTTTTCTTTCAAATAAATGACTACTCAAATAGCTTCCCTTCTACCTCCTGTGTTTAACGGTGAACACTACCATATTTGGTCAGTCAAAATGAAGGCTTACTTGAGGGGTCAAGGACTCTGGCAGTATGTAGAGGAAGAGAGACAACCCCCTCAGCTGGGACCAAATCCCACTCTCAACCAAATTTGAATGCATGAAGAGAAAGCATCAAAGGCTCCAAGAGCCCTGTCCCAGATCCACTCAGCTATCACAGATCTTGTTTTATAAGGATCATGGCATGCGAAACAGCCAAGGAATCATGGGACAAGTTGAGAGAAGAGTTCATGGGAAGTATCACTACAAGAAACATGCAGGTTCTGAATTTAAGAAGGGAGTTTGAAAGAATATGTTGACAGGTTGATGAGCATTGTCAACAAAATCAGATTACGTGGAGTGGAGATGTTAGACAGCAGAATAGTGGAGAAGGTAATGGTGAGCTTGCCGGAAAGGTTTGAAGCCAAGATTTCATCCTTGGAGGACTCAAAGGACTTGACTCAGATCACATTGACTAAGTTGGTCCATGCTCTGCAAGCACAAAAGCAAAGAAGGCTCCTAAGGCTTGAAGATGCGAATGAAGGGGCAATGCTGGCAACCTACAAAGGCAAACCTGTGCAAGGGAATTATAGGAAGTCTGCTGGAGAAAAAAGAGGAAAAGAAAGGTCCAACAACCAATGGAACAAAGCTGGTAGGATGCAAAATTTTCCAGCTTGTTCTCATTGCAAAAGAAAGGGACATGCAGAGCACAAATGCTAGTTCAGACCTGGTATACAGTGTAGGGCCTGCAAACAGTTTGGGCATATTGAAAGAGTATGCAGAAACAAAGGAGAGCAGTCCCAACAGCAAGCTCAAACTGCTGATGAACAACAACCAGTGCAGGAGACAGAGCAGCTATTTATGGCCTCATCTAACTTGATCCAAACTTGTGATGATACATGGCTGATTGACAGTGGGTGCACACATCACATGACACCTGATCTGAGTAGCTTTGTGAACATAGATTACTCTCATCGGTCAAAGATCAAGGTTGGGAATGGAGAGTGTGTGGAAGCAAGAGGCAAAGGAGATGTTGCAATCCAAACTCCAAAAGGTACAAAACTAATCTCAAATGTACTTTATGCACCCAATATAAGTCAAAGTCTTTTGAGTGTGGGGCAAATGTTGGAAAGGAATTATGCACTACATTTTCAAAAACAATCCTGCATTATTCAAGACAGTGAGGGTAATGAGGTTTTGAGAGTGAAAATGGTTGGGAAAAGCTTTCCAATAATGTGGAAAGCTACACCACACACAACATGCAATGTTAGAGAGGATGAAACTGAAATGTAGCAC